AATCCATGTGAAATAAATTGTTCATGACATCACCAGGAGCAATAAAAATTACCCGCTGCTTCAATTTGTGGAGAAGTTAGCAAATTGATGCAAATGGGCTAGTAGCATGGGGTAGGCATTTTCTGATATTCTTTGACTCAACCCTCCCATATTCCAAGCTCTGCCCTTCAGATACATCTCCATGTTTTCTGGCCATCCTCTCATTGAAAGAAAAAACTAGAAAGTGAAAGAAGTGAGCTGACAGCCAGGAAGACAATATGAAAAAAACAAAAGTATATGACCTTTACTCTTTTTCTCTTTTTTACTTTCAATTTTCCAGATCTTAAAATGGAGTTTTGGAGGTTTTTTTTGTTTGTTTGTTTTACCACTTTCTCAGAAGAAAACATGAAGATGAATGTAAGCATCTGAAAAATAAAACAAATTATAAATACTCCATCCTTTTTTTTTTTTTTTTTTTAGAAAATAGAAAAAAAAATTCAGTAGAAAACCTAGAGCTCACAAAGTTTTAGAAAATGGAAAGTAAACTCTGTAAACAATCTAGAGCCTATGAAAGTGATGGTAACTTTATAGAGATACATCTCTGATGGAAAAGGCATTGTAATGAGATAGAAGCATATTGTCTTGTGGGGGTTTAGAAACTCGAGTCCTGTTCCTTGTTTTACTACTTGCTCATCGTATGACTTTGGGCAAGTCACTTAACCTTCCTAGTACAAACTTTATTCATTTGGAGCATTAGGAGATAATAACAATAATACTAATGTTCATTATTACAGTGATATTTATTGGGCACACAAAATATGAAAAGCACTGCGTGAAAATTTTACACATGTCTTATATTCCTTTCTCAAAAGCCCCTTACATAAGCATTTGAATTCCCATTTAATAGAACAATAAAGCTGTTAAGAGGCTTTTGGTGTCAAATCCCACAGGCAACCTAATCCAACTGATGGATCCAATAAACAGAATTTAGCATTCCCCATAGTGAAACGTCTCAAGCTGTGTTAATGCAGGAATGTGTGATGTACCCAGGGGCCAACATATTGGCATCACTTCCTTCTGCTGTCCTTGTCCTTGGCATGTGGCCTTTGATTATTGTAACTTGACCCTTCCTGCTCACAAGACGGCTGCCACAGTTCTATAAATCACGTCCTCCTGCAGTGATGAGAGCTGGCAGAAGGGGCTATTTCTGCCAATGTATCTCTTCAAGAGCAAGAAGGTTTTCCTCATAATTCTGCTAGGTTGATTTATTTAATGTCTTATTGCTCAGAAATGGGTAACATGTCCATCTCTAAAACTGTCTCCAGAAGGAGGCATGTGATTACCACGATCTCTTTAGACCAAGCCTGGCTGATGCTTAGGCCAAGGGAGAGGCTCTGCCACTCCTAAAGAATAGAGCTTGAAATTAGCTAAACAAAATTAGGGGTGGGGGTATGACTGTTGGGTGAATGTAACGACCCATAAGCAAGCAGAGAGCCAAAAACAGAAGTTTTTTGCCCAGGGTCAAAGTTAGTAAGTGGCAGAGGCAGGACTTAAAACTAGGTCTGTCTGACAACATACATAATAATCTTTTCTGAAATCTTTCCCTGCCTCCTATTGTATCTTGTTCCCAAATAAGAAAGTTTACAGAAAGTCTAAATCAATTGCAAGGTGCATTTTGAGAAGCCCTACAAACCAGAAATACAAATGAACTCAATGAAGTTTGTCCCATCTTCTTAGACTCTTGTCCTTCTCCCACTCCAACCCTCAACTTTGCACTAAAAAAATCAGGACACGTTATTGCCCCCTACTTCCCTTTCCTTCAGTCTTTTTGTGGTTTAGTGTGCAGCAAACTGTAATCCTGGGCTTCTAATTTGTGGTGGGAAGGCAGGAGATGTGTTCAAATCACCTTGCACAGCACAGTTTCCATGAATCAAGACACCACTTAACTTCACTGACACAGGAGGTGGCCGGGTGAAGGAATGTGAATGATGCAACCGATTACTGAAGACCCTGTTTTGGGCAGAGATATCCATTCTGTGAACATGCTAAAGGGAGGATAAAGTCATGGAAGCACTGAGGAATAGAGAGGTTGGTGAGCAATGAGAAACAAAAGCACAAAAGAGTGCTTACAAAAAAATAATTAGAAAAGCTGGCGGGAATAAAAAAAACAATAGAATTCTATAAGCAGAAGTCAGCCTGTGAATAACCTAAGACGAGGCAAATGTACTTGTATCCTTAAAGTGTAAGCAAAATGCATTATTCTTGTTCTTCAGAGTATAAATCATCAACGACGCTGCCCATTTGTGGCGTGATACCCACTACTTCACCAAATGTCAGAGAAGTGTGAGTTGGAAACACAGAGACCACACAAAATACAATGTTTAAAGACTGTTGCAGTATTTATCAGTATCAGAAAATTAAAACAGATTTAGATAATTGAATTGTTTTATCATTCTAGTACACTACTTCTTGCATAAAAAAATAAGTGAGTTAGGGAACTATAAATAAAGATTTTTTACATTTTGAATATACCTGTCACCTATATTTTGAGTTTATTCTTTGCCATTCTAGTTCTGATTCACTGATATGAAGGTGGTGTCTTAATTGGGTTAATCCTTTTTTTCTTTTCTTCAAAAGGCTGCAATTTCCCAGTAATTAGTAACTACAGCACATCACTTCAAGTCATGACCCTTCAAGTCACTAACCCTTCTCCTGCAGGAAAGTGCAGTTATTGTCAGGGCCACACCTGGGGAACGCAGCAGCAGGAGTTTCCTGGACGAGGGACACATCTCTCCGAAGAAGATCAGAGCTCCTCCTGAACCAGCAGGGATCAAGTGAATGCTTCTTTGTTGTTCCAACACGGTGTCAACCCAGAATTCCTACGCCCTATCTGAGTATGCCCAAACATGGCCTAGGAGAGGATCAAAAGAAGAAAGAGTTTTAGATTGTAAGCTTCTAGTATAGCCTATATTTAGATAGTAGAATAGAAAGATGAAGCCAGCTTGATGGAGCAGGAAGGATAAATACATAGTCTGGCAAGAAATGGCACAAAATGTTCAAGGTCTTTACTACTGACCTTTCATTCAGTTATAATTTAAGTCGAGAATTCCTAGCTGTATCCATGCAAGCAACAAACTTTAATTTCAAATTAGAAATTCTTTCATCTATGCATAAAGGATCAACACAATTTAGTAGCTGAAAATAGTCAGCCTGCTTTCACAAAAATGATTTTTTGTTATAATTCTTGGGAAAACTTTTTTGCTCTGGAACAAGTTGTGGGACAATGTCATATTCAGAAAAGACTTCTGCAAAAGTAGCCAACAATGTTTTTATTCTCTCATTCATCTGTTTTTGCTTACCTCCTAGACAATACTATTACTCTTATGTACTCTTGTACCTAGGCTTTTATGGGTTCAGGTACCCAAAGCTATTGCCTTCACTCTGCAAACCCAAACCTGCCAACAGCAACGAAGCTCTCTAAATTCATTTCTGCTGCCTTTCAACTCAATTGGGCTATTAAGCTTTGGAAAACAAAAATGGCATTTTAGCAATCTGAGATCATCAAGTTATTTATGATCAGACAAAGTTATGGTTATTAGTGCTGGATAAACAGTCAATGCTATGGGAGATGTGGAGCAAGAGAAAGGAAAACAGTCTCTCCATGGGTACAGGGATTGTGGGCATTTGTTGGTATTTTACCTATTGCTGTAAAAGAAATTGTCTCAAAATGTAGCATCTTAATACAACCATTTTACTTTTCCTATAATTTTGCAGTCAAGAATTCAGCTGGGAGTTCTTACTTATGGTCTGTCAAAATGTTGCAGTCAGATATTGGCTGGAGCCCCAGTCATCTGAAGACTCGGTTTCTAAAATGGCTCACTCAGCTGGGGCTGTCAACCAGAGCACTTGCATAAGACCTCTTCATGTGGCCTGGGCTTCTCATAGCATGGGCACTGGGTCCTGAGAAGGGCATCCCAATGGGAAGAATCTAGATAGCATGGGTTCCGAGAGGCAAGGCACGTTTCTTCCCACATAGCCCTGGAGGTCACAGGGTGTCATTTTGCCTGCATTGTATTGGCTAAAAGGCTACACCAGTTGCAAAGAGAGGGGTATTTGACTCTCCAGTGTTAAAGGAATAAAAAGAGAAATGTCAAAAAACTTGTGAACGTCTTAATCTGCCAAAAATTGATTGATTAGCTACCAAAAATCCAGCTTCCCAGAGTGTTCACCAGAATTCCTCTTAGAAAAGATATAACAATCAGTGGAAGTTTTTATTTTACAGACATTTACTTATCTACTTCTCATAGATTAAATAAGAATAGTGATTATTTCCACTGGTTTATAGGAAAAGAAAGACTTTTCTTCTCCCTGTTATTCTGTTTACGGGTAGGCACATAGTGAAATTCTTGCAAGGTTTTAAAGAGATTGTTTAATTAACATTGATTTCTAGGGGTAGTTTTTTCCTCTGCTCCTTTAAGCTAAAGCTATTATTTTCCACCAGATGTGTTTAGTGTAAGTGGCCAAAAGTGTCATTTATTTTTTGAATTGTTCTAGTTAAAATACTTCTATTTTTTAAAGAATAGTTTTGAAAGCACTCACCTTCATCTGAAGAAGAAATGAGATCAAAAAGAACTGAGGCGAGAACAAAAGTAACTCTGTGTTTGAACTTTAAAATGACTTGCTCCTCTGGGTCTAACAAACCAACATTTCACTGGAATTTATTAAAATCAAGAAACCTATTGCTTAGATGAGAATCTAAATGTAACCATTTATCTCAGTTCTGTAAATGCAATTAACCTTGTGTTGTAGATGAAAGCTATCCTGGAAAAATAAAGCAATTACTAACCTGTTATGTTTTATACAAAGTATGAAATCCTGTTTAGTGCTCAAACTTTCCTGTTTTTGATTATAAAAACTCTTCTCCTTCCTCCTTTAAGTAGGCATATGTCACCCTTGTTTTTAATGGTAGTTTTCCCTGGTTTGCAAATCTAATAAAGTGGCTCCTTGAAATTTTTTTACAGACTGAAGTATTTTGCTTCAACACACCAAAGAGAAGTCCTGGCAGCAGAAAATGTCATCCATAACCTATGATGTAGTCATTGCTTAGGTGAAGGAATCCATGTTTTCTTTGATATGGTCTGGTGGATTAAAAGAAGGAAACTTATCACTTGAAAAATATATCTGGTTTTGACAGGTAATACTTAAGCAATTGTCTGTGATTTTTTTTTCCTCCTTTGAATTTTTCAGGAAAATTTTATCTTGATTTTTTTGATTTGCAATCATGCAGCTGCATTTGCCCCTAGTCAGCCAAAGAAAACAGAATTCTTTACAGGCTGTTCAGAAGAGTATTATCATAGTTGTTTTTACTCACAAGGACAAGTTTAAATAGGGTTCAACAAATCAAAACAACCAAAAAAAATTAGAAAAAAATAGGAAGTGTTTATCATCATTATTCCTGGCCTAGTACTTCTCAAACTTTAATGTACATATGAATCCAATGAAGAACGTAAATTGTTGATTCTTATTAAGTACTTGGATGGGGTTGGAAAATTTGCATTTCAAAAGCCTCCAGAAAATATTGATGCTGCTGGTTAACAGATCACATTTTGAATAGTGAAGCGTACATTAACTGAGACATAATTGGATTTGACCGGGAAAGGAGATATCAAGGCAGAGAACTGGCTGAGAGTTGCTCTATGTTTAGATGGACTTACAAGAGTAATAAATTAACATTTTTTAAAACTCTTCTTAAACTTTTTGTGTTTTAAAAAGCCATTTAATGTTTCTCAATGGTGAAATATAAGGAAATATGTAAATATAAACAAACTGTCAGGTTTTAGTTTACAATAACAATAAAATATGAGAAATAAAAACTGTTTAGCTCATAATCACAGCTAAATTTATGATTAAAAAAATACAACACATTACTTTAGCTGAGGTTGGAAATACATTTTCCTAAGAATAAAAACAAAGCTGATTACAATAATCGGCTTTGATTAATATTCTAAAAATGTTTAAAATGCTAGAGCAAGATGGTGACATAGGAGATCCCAGGCTTCACTCCCCCCCAACTCCAGAAAGAGCTATTAGTGAACAAAAGCACTTTGGTGAAAACCCCCAAACATGGAAATAAGCCAAGTTACCTGCTTGTTTCATGGAACTGAATAAAATCCACATTAAAAGGATAAGAGATATGGTCTCACTTTGACTTCATTGCCCCTTCCCCTGCTCCAAGTTCCCCAGGGCCCATGGTTTTCACAGTGGAAGAAGAGAACAAAGGAGGTGGACATCCAGCTTTCCTAGCATTACTGGACACTTCCCAGAAAGTCCATTCTGTTCTCACCTCACTGGAAATGGGGGTTGTAGGGGGAAATTACATGGCTAAACCACCCTGAGGCCAGGTAAACAAAGCAAAGCAAAGCAAGGAGGTGAACAAAACAAAGCAAGGAAGTGAAACAGAAACCAGCACAGAGATTTTGGTGAAAGCTCAGTGCATCTGCCAGCAGTGGTGCTCAATCAGAGGTGCCAGCTAACAGTGTAACTCACCCACAAAACTGAGCTGGTCACTTCCAGGTAAGGTAGGAAATACTACTTGGCTTGAATTCCTAGGTAGCCAGCCTTCAGGCCCTAACTGGGACCCTGCACAGGGAGGGAGACAACCACTGCAGGAAATTTTGACAATAAGTAGGCACTGGTTCTGTCACACTTGGGAATTTAATAATGACTCCCTGTGGCTTCAAAGCCCATCCTCAGATCCCACTGAGGGAGGGAGGCAAACCTCAACTATGCATTTCTACTGAGCACAGCAGCTAGGTCACCCATCCTGATTCACTTAATTTTAGAGCCCCTCCTGCAATCCTGTTCAACTGCTGAACTCAAATAGCAGTAACTTCTGGCCAGGGTCCAGAAGTTATACTCTGTGGCCCAGCTAGATCACAGATGATTACAGTGTCCACATAGCAACTCATTCTGATAGATCTCAACCAGTGGTCCTGCAAAATAGCAGAGCCTACCCAGCTGACCCCCCCCCCCACCTCAAATTCAGGGCAAAGGGAGCAGCTCCGTAATCTACAGAACCTGAAAGCCAAGATCTACCTTCCCAGGGTCATTATCAATTGGCCTACTCAGAATCCTAAGTTAGACTAACCAGTGAAGATCTATCCCTGCCAAGGAACTCCTATAAAAGCTGGAAAAGGTAGCTGTCTCTGCAAATGTGCAAACACCAACACAAGGACTCAAGGATTATAATGACTTAGGAAATTATAATACCTCCAAAAGAAACTAACGAATTTACAACAAAGAACCCTGAAGAAAGGGAGATCTATGAAATGACAGAAAAATTTTTGATAATAACCTAATCAAAAAAGTTCAAAAATATGTGCATAAAATATTAAACAAAATTTGGAAAACAATACACAAATAAAACAAGAAGTTTGACAAAGAAATAGAAATAATATAAAAAAAATAGAAATGCCAGAGATAAAGAATACAATCACTGAACTGAACAATGCAACAGAAAGCTTTGACAGTGGGCTTGATCAAGCTGAAGAAAGAATCACTGAGCTTGAAGACAGAACATTCAAAGTTACAGTAACCTTGAAGACAGAACATTTGAAGAACATTTGAATTAGAGGAATAAAAGGAAAAAAAAACTGTTTAAAATGAAGAAAGCCTATGGGAATTGAGACACGATCAAGAGACCTAACCTATGTACAACAGACATAGCAGAAAAAGAGGAAAGAGAAAAAGAGCCAGAAAGCATATTTAAAGAAATAATGGATGAAAACTTCCCTAATCTGAGTAAAGGAGCTAACATTCAGATACAGAAGGTGAAGATGTCATCAGGTAAATTCAAATGAAAGGAGAGTTCACCAAGACATATAATAATTAAGTGATCAAAAATCAAAAACAAGGAAATAATTCTGAGAGCAGAGATAAAAAACATATTACGTACAAAGCAGTCCCAATATGACTAGCAGTGGACTTCTCAGCAGAAACACTATAGTCCAGATGAGAGTGGTATGATATTTTCAACATGCTAAGAGGAAAAAACCTGCCAATCAAGGATGCTTTTCTTAGCAAAGCTGTCTTTTAGAAATGAGAAACAAATAAAAAATTTTCTATACAGACAAAAGCTAGGAGAGTTCATCACCACTAGATCTGATTTATAGGAATTGCTACAGGGACTTCTTTAAACTGAAACAATAGGCTGTTAATTAATAACATAAAATGTATAAAAGCACAAAACCTAATGGTATAAGTAATACAGAGAATATTAAGAATACTCTGGAACTATAATAATGTGTAAAGTAATTTTAGTCCTACTACAAGGGTTAAAGGACAAAATTATTACTAACAATTACAGCTAAAATAAATAGTAAAGGGATACATATTATAAAATAATGTAAATTCATACATCAAAAACATAAAATGTGGGGGGGATGTAGTAGAAGTGTAGAGGTGTTATATGGAATCAAAGTTAAGCTGTTATCAGCTAGAAATAGATTGTTATATGTGTAAGGTACTGTATGTAAACCTCATGGTAACCAAAAAAAAAAAAAAAAGAAGAAATCTATAGGAAATGCACAAAACAAAAATAAAAATGATATTGAAAACATACCACTACGGGAAACCATTAAGCCACAAAGGAAGACAGCAAGAGAGGAAAAAAGAAAGTAACCAGAAAACAATTAACAAAATGACTGTAGTTAAGTCTTTACCTGCTAATAATTACCTTGTATGTAAGTGGATTAAATTCTCCAAAGACATAGTGTGAATGAATGTGTAAGAAAAACAATACCCAACTACATGCTGCCTACAAAAGACTCACTTAACTTTTAATGATACATATAGACTAAAAGTGAAGGGATGGACAAAATATTCCATGCAAATGGAAAGGCTAATATCCTTGATGAACACAGATGCAAACATTCTCAACAAAATGCTAACAAACCAAATTTAACAATACATTAAAAGGATCATTCACCATGATCAAGTAGAATTTATCTCCCGGATGCAAGGATGGTTCAACATTTACAAAGAAATAAATGTGATATACCACATTAACAGAATAAAGGACAAAAATCATACAGTCATCTCATTAGATGCAGGAAAAGCATTTGACCAAATTCAGTATACTTTCATGTTAAAAAAAAAAAAACAAAAAAACCCAGTAAATTAGGTATAGAAGAAATGAGTTTCAACACAATAAAAGTCATGTATAATAAGCCCACAGTCCACATTATACCCGATGGTGAAAAATCAGAACCCTTTATTCTAAGATTCAGAACAAGACAAAGATGCCCACTCTTGCCACTTCTATTTGACATAGTATTGGAAGTTGTGATCAGAGACATAAGGCAAGATAAAGAAATAAAAGACATCAAAATAGGAAATAAAGGAGTGAAACTTACCATACACTGATGACATGATGTAGTATGTAGAAAACTCTGTGGAATCCACTGAAAAACTGTTAGAACTGAAAAACAAATTCAAGATAGTTGCAGGACACAAAATCCACATGCAAAAATCAGTAGTGTTTCTCTATATTAACAACAAAGAAATCAAAAGAACAATCCATTTATAGTAGCTATGAAATAAAATAAATAAATAAAATACTTAGGAATAAATGTAAGTATGTTACACCAAAAATGATAAAATGTTCATGGAAAAATAAAATTGAAGAAGACACAAATAAATGGAAAGCTATCCCATGTTCATGAATTGGAAGAATTAATACCTCCAGTTACACACAACTATTATGGATGTCACTGACCAATGCAGTAGCATCAACCAGTGTCCATGAAAATGGCATTGTAATAAATGCTATTGTGAAAGAAAAAGAAATAAGGTGTAAACACTGAAAAGGGAACAAAATTAGCTTGTAGATAATAAAATCATGCACCTAGAAAATCTAAAACATTCATTGAAAAACAAAAATAACTAATTGAAATGTGACAAAGTGAATAATCACAGCAAAAACTAAGTAGAAATGATAATGGAAAGGGTGCCATTCACAATGGTAGCGACAAAGAGTTACAATGAATATGAATGACTAATGTGAAGAAACCGCAAAATACTACTCAGGGTTGTGAAAGATGTGGACACATAGACACATATGACACGTTCTCAGAAAACAAGAACCAATTTTGTAAAACTGTTAAATGACCTTAAATTTACTTAAGTTTTATTCAAATGG